ACCTATCTTCACGACATTTTGGGTTTAAGGAGGATCGTTTTTAACTGGTAAATATTTAGCATCACACTAGGATGGCTAAGAAGTTAAAGGTCTGAGCTTTCGCGCCATTTGTTACTAGTGCAGTGATCAAATTCCCAATAGTTGGATACCTTAGCATCATTCAATACTTTCCTTACATAATATATAGGTTTTTAAACTTTATCTTCTTCCTATGTCCAAACCGCCCTCACAGCTTTTTTTTTTTTTTTTTTTCTTTTTTGTGGTATTCAAGGTGCTTATCCAGTCCGTGGTGGGCTGGGGGTTTGGGAGTGAGGAGATGGCGGCCAACCGCCCTCACAACTGTTGATGAGCAAGGTAAACTCACCAAGTATAGGTTTGGCGAGGAGGGATGATAAACTCAAGTACTTCTTCTAGTTCTCGAAGGCAACTTGGCGTTCATTTGTCTATATCATTGAAAAAGGAGAAATTTCTATCACTCGCTTTAGAGAAGAAGCAACTAGTTGTAGCTAGTTTTTCAATAAGCCTTTGAACTTCTTTAACCCATTGAGGTGGCTTCATATCTTGAATTGCTTTGATTTTAGAGGGGTTAGCTTCTACCCTCTTTCAGTTATTATGAAATTAAGGAATTTGCCACCTTTAGATAGAAGGCTCACCTTTTTTTAATTATTCAACTTCAATTTGTTCTTTCTTGATGCAATGAAGATTTTATTGAGGTCCTCACATGATCTCTTTCTTTTTACTTTTTACTAGTGTGTCATCGACATAATCTTCCATGTTTCATTCTGATAGGTTGCACTAACACTTTTTAGTCCGGAGACAGGACTTTAATGTTGTAAATACTTGAGTCAATGATGAAAGCTACTTTTGGTCTACTTTCAATGTTGAGATATATTCGATAGTAACCTTTTTAAGGATCAAGGAAGCAGAGAAGCTCGAACTAGAAGGTTACTCATATAGTTTAAAGTTTATGCTATTGAAATTATGAACATAAACAAGCATGTTTGGCACTAATTATTGTGCACATTAGCATAGGAATACAAAATTGTGAGTTTCATGAAGTAAAAATAATAATAATAAATCACTTTGATCGAAAAGATCTAAAACATTGCTATCTAATTATTCTTCTCATGCAAATGGGCTTGAATCGATTCAAGCATATAAAGATTTGTTAAAACTCTATAAAAGTTTTATGCATATTTATAAACATGCTACTTGTGTTAGAAAAAATTTGGATATTAGTCTACGAAAGATCAACTCAAAACATTGAGGTATAGCTCAATGGCTGGGGAGGTCCCATAGAGCCCTCCTCACTGCCAGGTCCATTTTGCAGTATTATTTTGGTGGTAGTATGGCTTGAACCTGATGAATCAGTCTTTGATTTTTTTTTTATTTATAAAACTGCAATTAAAATATTTTAAAAAAAAAGAAAAAAAAATGCTTGTTTCGCCAAAACAGTAAAATTCACTTCCCCGTAATTTTCTATGGCAACCTTATTAGTCCATGATGTAGACCAACAAAACATTCTGATGCATTTTGTGATTTCAAGCATAGGATTAGTTGGATGGCATGGTCCAACACATTTTGGTAGATTTGATGCTACATTTATGTTAAGTTTGCAAAACGTGGTTGTGATAGCACCATCCAATGATGTTGAACTTGTTCATATGGTGAACATTGCAGTCTAAATTGATGTTTGACCTATTTGTTTTCCCTAACCTAGAGGTGCAATTGCTAGGATAAATGGCACTATATAATTTGAAAAGAAGAGTGTTATCTTCCATTAGCATTTGTTGCATTCATCTTGAGAATATGATATGCACATTCATCTTCAATTGTTGCATGAGAGATCCAGCGTGATTTGCATTATATCTTTGTGTGAAATGCTTGTCATATTTAATTTATTTAATGCCACATTGCCCACCCAAAAGATAACTAGTTTGTTTTACACTGAATTAGTTGAGAGGAAATTAAGTTGGCCTGGTAAATCAAAATATACTAATAAGACCAAAAGCTTCATTTGCAAAAGAAATCAATCAAACAATGATTTGTTACAAGCATCTAAATTCTTACAAAAAATGGTGAACATCTAAATACCCGTTGTCATTTCTCCTCATTGCTTGCATTGGGTAAGCAATGCAAGTAATTCTTGGATAACCTTATCTATCCTTTTCTTTTCTAAAAACTGACAACTTGGTTATAAATGGGAAAATTATTACAATATTTGCAGACCTCACTCTATTGATGACAACGTGCAACAAAAATGAAAATATAATAGCATTTAATACAAATATGTAAGATGTTTAGTATGCTAGAATTTAGTTTAAAAATTATGTTCATAACATCTATAAATGTGAAAGTTACTCGAACAAATTGATAGGATGAAAAAAAATGAAACCTATCACCTACAAAATTGTTTTTGGACTTTAGGATCCTCAAATTTAGAAAATATTTTGATATTTGAAAGGTACTTCATTCATTAGTCTTAAAATATGTGTTCGTGAACAAATATATTGAAGGAGAAAAACATAGTCTTCATATCAAAGTTCAAAAAAGCATGGAGAAATCCTTTTTAAGATGAGTTTTAATACTTGAATTGTTTGTCCCTTTAAATAGAGGGAATTATTGGATAATGTAAAATTCAATTAGGAAAAAAAAAATAGTATGGACTTCATCTGAAAATTTTTAGACACTATTCACAGCAAGGATAGCAGCAGAACATTCACTTTGTAAACATATGAAAGAAGACTTGCGACCATCCCAAACTAGCTAAAAATTAATCCTAAACTTTAATGCCAACAACCTTATTGATTTCAATCACTTGGTACATACTTATCCTTAAAATGTTCTTTCTTATCCCTTCCTTTCACAATGCCAAGCTATTTATACTTCTTCAGTCATTAAAAATAATCATTTTTATTATCCTAAATTATTTAAAATTTTTGGTATTGTGCTCTTCATAAAATCTGGCTTCTTTTTTATTTTACTTATTTTTATCAAAATAGTTTTTATAAATATATTTTGAGCAGTAGCGTACTCATCAAGTGTGCATTAAAAATTTGTTATATAAAGTTTCTGTGGGGCCAAAAATTTTGATTTATAAAGGACATATTTTATAACTTTCTTTTTTTTTTAATAGGAGGAAATGTAATATTTTGATGTTGCCACTAATTATCCTATGGGGCCAAGTTTTTTTTAAAGCCATGGCAAAAATGGGTGTGGTAGTGATTAAGGAGGGGGTTGAAGTGTGTGGCAAAAAGAAGAATGGTTGTGGTAAAGGAGGGGGCTGCTCTTGATTGAAGAAGACCCAGTTATAGTTGTTGATTTTTTTTGTCGGAAAGATCTAAATGGCGGCATTGCTTTAAAAGGATGCAGTTGGCCCCTAAGTTTAAGGAACTTATAAATCCAAATAAAAGATTGAGGATGGAATTGGTTTAAGGAAAAAGTTGAAGGACTAAATGGATAATTTTCCTTGTCAAAATACAACAATCCCTTGGCCCTTTCAACTTTAGTCAACCATTTGTAAGAAAGTAAAACCTTGAACCATTTCTCTAAGCAAACAAAGGTTTTTATATTGAAATTGTTAATCTGCTGCAGACTTTTTATTGGGATATTACATTGTTTTTTCCACTATTGCCTCCAAAATGTTATAAGTGGACAATATAGAATGTCATGTCTTTTACACTTTAAAAGTCTATTCGTACTAATTCATGAAATTTAGTGACCCAACTTTAATAACACATCCAAATAAAGTTGAAAACAAAATAGGGGACAATGAATTACCTGATTAGAGGTGTTTTTGGGGAGTATTTTTCAAATATTTTGCTGTAGCATGTATATAAAAATCTTTTACTATAAGTGATTAAGTGTTTTGAGAGTGTTTTTGGAAGTTATTTTTGAGAATATATTTTAGGGTATTTTAACAATTCAAAATTTTAATTTGCATCTTTAGAATTCAAAATTTTTACAGCGGATGGGCAACTGGGATTTCACTCCCTCCACCGTCAAATTCTTCTTCGTCGGAGTCAAATGAGTAGTTGGGGTTTCCTCACTTACCGTCCCGGAGCCGGGTCACATCAAACGACTCACTCCCCTGTTTCCATTAGGATTTTAAGCTCATCCTCAAACCGAATGTGATGGTATCAAACAGAAACTAGGCAACAGAGCTGCTTCCAATGGAATCGATTGATAAGACTAATGCAGAACAGAAGATTAATAACAGGAAAAAATCAATAATGAACTGATGAATAACCAAACGAAATTGTATTGATGTTGATTGAATAAGAAGATTACAGATTGGGCGGGAAAAGAGAAGAAAATGGCAGAATGAAGGAAAACAGAAGAAGATGCTCAGGGAATGATCCCTTACAATGACTAACAAAATCCTATCCTTCTACTACTGATCCTTTCTTTATATAGAGTTAGCTAACAACCAGCTCCTTTGTCGCTTCCTAATCCAGCTTAGCCATGTGAGGAGTTAACAGAATCTGTTGTAGAGCCACTTGCTTAGAAGCTCACCTTGCTTGAGCTTGTTCCCAGGAAAGGCGTGATTCTAATTCCCACGCCTTCACTTGCAATCTCCTTTATTTTGCACGTCTACTTTACTTCATAAAGGCGTGATGCCAGTATTCCACGTCTACAGCTTGCTTGAAGTTACTTACTAAAGGCGTGTATTTTATTTCACGTTTCCAGCTTCTCTTAGCTAACTTCTGCTCCATGACACCGAAACATAGCTTGCTGGAGCAATTCATCAGCCCGGTCAAGGCGGGAGGAGGAGGACTTATCGTGACCCATGGGAGCCCATTCATGAGTAATGGCGGCTAATTCGTCAACGGCGTCAAGGAAAGAAGCAGCGTCGATAGAGTCAGCCCTGATGGGGTGATCTGCAGCCATGTAAGTGGACATCTGGCGGTCTAGGGGCTTGAGGGTATGCGTTTTTTGAATTGTTTTTGGAGTTGTTACTATAGACTTTAAAAACAAAACAGTTATTTAAAAAAAAATGCTAATTCAAACAGAGCATTGATGTTCAACCTTTTTTCTCCTTGTTAAGGGAAATACAAGATTGAATTCCCGGGTTGAAAAAGATCAAGTTTCATCTCCAAGTTCAAGACGGAAGCTGCGACAACTAAACTAGTTTTTTATTTTAAACTCCCTGTTTAATCTAGCAAATCTTAACCTGAAGAAGAAATTACTTCTTCGATATCCTCGGCTTCAACATCCTTCAATGCAAGCTCGGACGAGTCTGGAGCTTTTGGAATTAGTCCAAGCAGCTTAAACATATATTGATCAGCATCATAATCATTATTTGGTGTTGTTAACAATTTCTCGCCGGTAAAAATGGAATTTGCACCAGCAAGAAAACATAGAGCCTGCTCTGGAATAGAAAACCGAACTCTGCCAGCTGAAAGCCTGACCATTGCTTTTGGCATTATTATACGAGCAGTTGCAATCATCCGAATCATCTCCCATATTTCAACAGGCTGATTTAAGAGACATAAAACAAAAGTTAAACCAGATCTCCAAATTTTGTGGCAAGAGTTTCATGGAAGATAATGTGCTCGATTAAGTGCTAAACAAAACTGTTGCTTATACAACATGAATGAAAGCTGAATGCATCAATAACATGCTTTACAATTATCTGAAGCAATCACTGGTTTCTAGAATTTTTAACAGCAAGACATGAGGTACCTAGTCTAGTCAACCAGCATAATATTTGGAATAATGTGTTTGGCAACCATTGTGCCACTAATATGAATTTTGTCAACCATATGAAGATTCTGGGAAATGCTCAAGAATGACTTTCACATGCATAAATTAATATTTCCTGTAATTTCCATGACAGGTAGTGCAACTTTCTTGTCTTTATTAACCATGCTCAGAGATGCTCACATGTTTACAGCTTAGCATGATACTTCCTCCTTTATGTTTTATATAGTACGTATTATGCCAGATAACAATATCCTAGGTGAAGTCAATATTTGTTAGAGGTAAATCACCACTGTAGGTGAGAAGTGAAGCCACATAAGCAACCATATATAATGTAGCTTGGATATAAAAGATGACAAATGCAAGAAACATAGCACGATGAACGTCTCTACTCTGGCACAGCTTCAACAACTTCAAAGCCTATGGAGTACGGAGTACCTTTTGATCCTGGAGTGGTGTCCCCTTTACTGCAAGAAGTGCATTGATGGGAACACTCTCCGGGTGAGTAGGAAGAGTAGCTAGTGTATGTAACAAACCCACTCGGTCCTCCTCTGCTTCTCCAAGTCCTATTATTCCTCCTATTGACAGAAATTGAGGGGCTTAGAAATAATCTTAAAATTTTGCATCATGCCAAAGTCCAGTTTCTAACAGACTAGGAACAAGAACATTGTATATGTTGACTCAATAAGCTTTTGTCCATGTAAACGGCTGTGTAATTTATATATCAGAAAATGCAGCTAGCTGTTTAGCTTATAGGTCCAAGATTGCTAGACTCTGAAAGGCAACAAGCATTAAGAGAAATTATAGTTTTTCTAGTGTGTCAGCAGTACAAATGGATTAAATCCATAGAGAGAATTTTACAGTTGTTTCTAATGACAATATCTTAATTGATGTCAGATTTGTTTAGCACAAGTGCAAATTGTGAACTTCTCAAATATCTGAATGTTGTCTATCACCTATGTAGCTTTCAAAATTTACTGTCTATAATCCGAATCTACCTTTAGTATTAAATCATATGAAAATTATTTTACTACATCTCTACATAACCAATCTCTGGAGAACTTCATCCCACTTATTGCAACTGACAAATGCATGACAAAACCATTCACAGGTGGTGATTCTCAAAGACCATATGATAGGTACAATTCATACTCCTGTTGTTTAGAAGCACTAATAACAGGTTTAAAATCTTAGAAAGATGATTTGATGAACAATTATGGGAAAAAGAAGGAAAAAATAGTAATCTACAAAACCTAGAGTTATTAAAAAATCCCATTGAGACAATGCAAATCTCAAATTCTTTTTAATAAGCATGATAGGAGATCCTACATCAGAAGTCCATTCAACAACTCGAGACAACACTTTAAATTCGATGGTAACCAAATTCTGTCCCTATTCCTGGTGATCAACAATTATCAGAAAGTCCAGCATGTTCTCGATGGACAATCTTTATTGTGGATGGCCTTATACCACATGACTATAAATATGATGACTATAAACATGACTATAAATATCACATAACAATCTGAATTTGTCACATTACCACCTCATACTTCCAAGGCAATGATAAAATGAATTCATCCCTGTTTCTGAGTGATTAATTATTGTTGAAGGTTGAAACATTTAAGTAACTAGTTTTCACATATTTCTGCAAGTTGAGTCCTCAAATAGCATAGCAAACAACTCATTAGATCCTCCCAAATGCAGCATGCAGCAATTAACTAGTGGTTTTCTGAAAAAAGAGCAATGGCTGTTTCTATGTTTTGTCAGACACAAAAAAAGGATATAGAGAGAGAGAGAGAGAGAGAGAGAGAGAGAGAGAGAGAGCTCTGGTATTTTAAGAAAACCAATCACCATGGTGGATGGAAGTACCTGAACAGACATTTATTCCTGCTTCGCGGACATATTTCAGGGTTTCCAGGCGTTCATCATATGTCCTCGTGGTTATAATATTGGGGTAATACTCCCTTGATGTGTCAAGATTATGGTTGTAAGCAGTAAGACCTGCCCTTTTGAGCTCTAAAGCTTGCTGCTTCTCCAGCATACCTAGAGTGCAGCAGACCTCCATTCCCATATTCCTTTACATGGAAAGCAATTAGACTTCTAAACATATACAGATACATGACAGTAAAGACAGTTCATAAGGCCACAATCTAGATGAGACAGGAAGGAACATGATACATCTCCTATGAGACATCTAAAGAATCAAAGGTGATACTCATCCAGTTTTTCACAACTGAAAGTCAGTAGCAAAATTATTACCACATTTCTTGTGGTATGTCATGGTTTTGTTAAACCTTCATTTTTTGAAATATTAATGCATGAAGAAATTACCTTTTAATAGGCACAACATTTGAAATTCCCACAGGGCTGCCTTAGGGTATTACAACAAATATATTGGCATATAGATATAGTTTTTTGGTGAGTGTGCCCATCAGCACGTGCAAGATTACCTGAACATGTATTTTTACATAGGCAACTGATGTCCAAAAATACCAACTCAAAAGGACATTTTTTTCCTTATTATTTTCGTGTAAAAAAATAAGGTAATCACAGTATAATCAAATCTTGGAATGGCACTATTTAATCAATTTTTTTTTCCTTTTTTTCTCTTTTCAAGCCTTTTCCCATTTTGCAAGCTCCGACTTTTCTTGACACTTGAAAAACCTAGTAGGATAATCTAAGCTAATTAAATCTTTATTCCAGACATTAATGTTCAATTGAATTTATTTGATTTAATTACATCTTCATATGATATACTATTCATTAACTGCATAATTGTTGCTCTTTTTTTTTATTTTCTTTTTCAAGTGAAGCATAGCCCATGTAAAGAAACTTGGATGATTCAGCACGCTCGCTTACTAGTTGCTCCATATACAAAGGATACAGCCTCAAATTGAAAACAAACTTATACTTTATTTCAGAAGAAAGTTTTTTTTTTTTTTTTTTTTTTTTGTAGCATACATTAGAATTACGAATTTGCATTGACTTAGAACTTACACTGCAGATATGTTTCCCAAGATTGCTTTCAGTAATGTAATTGTCCAAATGCCACCAAACTGAATAGAATTTAAAGACTTCCTTTTAATGTTTACAGGCTAAGATGCAGACTACTCGACAGACCGAACAAATCTTTTATATAAACTCTTTATAATAATCTACTGGCAAAGCATGATATAAATCACAAAATTGAGAAAAAGAGTGATACGCTTCAATGTGATTCAAAACTACAACTGAATCATAATCAGAAACAGAATAAGAATTTTTACAGACTTCTTTGATATCTGAAGCCATGTTTTAGTGAAAATGTACATTTGATGCATATTGGGTGGGGAGATAACCTTTTACTCCAAAATCTTTTGAATAGGTTTTATTACACTACAAAGCCTAAATCATTTATCACTGCAAATATAGGCTAATTACACTCCCTCCCTTTAATCAGAGGACATTTGCACTTTGCCCTACTTAAAATTACTTTATCACCAGTTTACCCGCTAAGAGTAACACTCAACTATCCTGCTTAATTTTGCCTTCAAGAACATGACAGAAAGTCTTTCTTTTATCAACTAATTTGCCCATCTATATCTTTGATCTGTAATGTTACTTTAATCATCATAAACTTTAGTTTGCTTCAAATATTTTTTATGCCAATTTAGTTATAATAAAATTGAATTTGTTATTTTCATTTTAAAGAATTAATTCAATATTGTGTATGCAAATAAAATAATTACTTGATTAAATGTGCTTTAAACTAAAAGTGGTGTTTTTCCACTTGTTTTATTAGTAACTGTCCACAACAGGAGAAGAAACGGGGGAAAAAAGATAAACCATACACAGAACTCACAGAAAGCACTAGTTTCTTTTCTTTCTTTTCAAGTCATTGAAGAAGAATCTTTAGTGAATAAATCAGATTTACCAAAATGGAAAAAAAATAAGGGCATTTTCTAGTATTAGTATCAGTTATTTCCATACAAACATATTTGTGAACCTGTACTTTCAAGTATGACTTAGTGTGCTATTATCAAATCATGTGATCAAAATTATCATTAGAAAAAATGGATAGCTTTATCAATCCCAATCCCCCCATATGCCAAGAATACTAGGAGAGGAGAGGCAGTTCTGATATGACAAAATTGAGAAGAAAAATGAAAACGAAGTAGAAAAAGAAAGGAAATTAGTCCATGCACAAAATAATAAAGAGCATATAACATTTTTCACCATTTTTCTTAGTGGTTTGATCCATATTCTTGGGAACAAACAGATACTCAATCTCAGGGGCCAAATTCCAACTCAACTATAATTACAAGCAGGTTAAGTATGATTATGCATAATTTGTTTTTCCCCCAGCAAATTCCATCCAAAATCTCTCATTGAATTGCTTAGAGAAAACTTGGAAAAATGAGGGATGAGATATGCATTTTACATAATTGCTAATGCAGAAAAGTTTTGAAAACAAAATGGAAACAAATTCTCTCTGATATATCAGCCAGATAGCAAATATTCTTTAAGAAATTGATTTAGAATCAACTTAAAGTCGATCTGGAAGAAGTGGGAAGGATAGATAAACATGCTGAAGGAGAAATAAGCAGAAGAAACAAAAGCATGCAATCTCTGGGAACTAGAATTTAAAACATAGGTGATTGTTCTTTACCACTGGTAGTCACCACAAGAAAAAGAAGAAAACAGTAATGGTAGGAATCACTCCAGCAGCTAGTCTATACATAGCTTCTGACTATCTTAAAAATTGAAGAACTTCTCCAGAATTTAATTTCATGCCAGAGACGAGAACTAATTTCGTTTTTAATCAAATATATTTTGAATATTTCATCTACCATGCTGCACAAATAAAACTGATTGAAATGAACTATGGATTCCCGAGACAAGCAAAAAAAAAAAGTAAAAAATTAAAGCAGAGCAGCTTAAAGTATAGGAACATCCTAAAAGAGTATTAGAAGCTTAAAATTTTACTAAATACACTCGGACAAAGACAAAACTAAACAAAAAAGAGACTACAAAGTGGTAATAAACCTTCCAAATTGTGAAAACCTAAAGCTAGATTGAATTTACCCAAAACTTACCACTCTGGAACTAAACTTTTCGTTGTTGACATCCTTATACATTACAAAAGAAAATCTAGGATTGACTGGGACATAATTTGTACCGGACAAGAGAAAGACGTGAATCAGTAACAGCTTTTTCATGAAAACCACGAAGGAACCACATGATTAGATTGCCCTCGTTTTAGCAACTCAGGTCAGTTCTAATAGGACTACAATACTAGTTTTAGCACCCTTAATCACCTTGATCACCATATACAAATGATTTGGTCTATTACCTTATTTCTTTAACATATTCAAGGATCTGATTGAAATTTGTCTTCCTTCCAATTGTGTCTCTCCATGCAGCACCCATGCAGAAACGCGTGCTACCAGCTTCTTTTGCCTACAGAGGAATAAAAACGCCGAGTTTTTGTATTATCGTTAGTGAGGTTGAAGTCAGAAAAGATGGTTAACACAGTATATCATGGTTCAAGAAATAGTTTAGTCATTTACAAGTATATCAAAAACTTAAACCAAGTCTGTCTTAATAAAATAATGCAAACTTCTTCAGCGACGATACCGTGCCTGCCACTAAAGTGTCAGGTAAGCATGGAGGGAAATGCATAGCTGGGCACCTAATGTCAAAATATGGCAATGCCAGGAACCGAAGGAGCATCGAATTGTGGTTCCCAAGTTTGGACTGTGTATAAATGTAATGGGATTTAATATTTTCCAATAACTTGCTTTGCCAATAGGCATGCTCTGAATGTGAAACCATTTCTCATTTTTTCTTTTCTTGCCTCTCTCTCCTCTCTGCAAGTCTGTCTTAATACAATAATGCAAACTTCTTCAGCAAAGATACCATGCCTGCCACTAAAGTGTCAGGTAAGCAGGGAGGGAAATGCATAGCTGGGCACCTAATGTCAAAATATAGCAACTCCAGGAGCCGAAGGAGCATCAAATTGTGGTTCCCAAGTTTGGACTGTGTATAAATGTAATGGGATTTAATATTTTCCAATAACTTGCTTTGCCAATAGGAATGCTCTGAATGTGAAACCATTTCTCATTTTTTCTTCCTTTTCTTCCCTCTCTCCTCCCTGCAAATCTTGTCTCTATTGTCCCTCTTTTCTTTCTGCCAGTTGACCCTCTACGCTACATAGCCTGGAAAAGACTATCTTCTCTTCTCACTCTTTTATTTGATTCTTGCAATCTTCTTTCTTTTTATTTTGTCAATTACTATATCAAAATGGTTTTATAAGATGAATTTGATTCTCAACCTTGCGTTTCCAAGGTTGTGGCAGATTTTGGAAGGACTTGTATTGCCAGACGAAACCAAAGGACTTAGTTTCTCAGTATTCTATATCTTGGTGACTTTATTTAAAATACAATCTGATGAACCTAAGGTAAATCAATGTAATACTGGAACTTCATGAGGATACCTTATTTTCCAGCAGCAGCAATAGGTGGTTTCTCAGTTCCAACCACCACCCAAGGCTCATTTCCTAACAAAATTCACTTAAGATGGAGAGATGCATGAAAATTCCAACATTTAGAACAATGCAACAGATCTACTGGGAGACAGGAAAGCAATGATCAATCAAGAAAGAAGACTGCAGAACCCATGCAGGTGTGGAAGAAGATGAGATTTTCTGTTCAATTTTTAAAAGATTTTACTCATGCTTGGCGTCCATTCTTTGAAATCGACATGTCATTGTGGTAATCAGATGCCCTGTATTGGAGGCATTGACATGGCAAGAGGCAAAGGGCCATAATAATTTCATTTAGGTGAACAAAACCAGGAAAGATGGGAATGGAGATGAGATGCCGCTCCCTCAATGAGAATAACATTGTTATAAAATAAGTACATGTTTAGGTGAGAATAGCATGATGCTTTTTGACAAAGGTAAAGAGAGCATTGCACATATACAAGCCAGTAACAGTTGTAAAAATGTAATAACCAATAGAGACTGCAGATTCCAACATCAATAAGAAATTGCATTTTTTTCATCCAGATTGTGAACAGTCTTTGCCAAGGGATAAAGCACAAGAATTATCACATGCCTCACAAGACTGCCTAAAATGGATTAGATTCTTGGCTTTCCACCCTACCACCTGCTAACTCATGATACACTAACAAGTTTGACCTTTGATACATGAGAATATCCAGTTTAGGGAAGAAACAGAAACCACACTCCATAAATATTATGAGTGTCCATATCACCAAATATGCAGAAATACTGATACCATAACTTCTGCTTAAGTATACTTGACATTTGTACCTGTCATTTCCATAGCTTTTGAAAAGCAATGAAAACCATAATTCACTGCTTTGACCTCCAATACCCAACAGCTCATCATAATAACTTATCCCACACTATTTCCTGTTCCAAAACTCATCATTCTACTAACCTTGCATGATTTTCTCGCTCCAAAACTCATGGTTTTACTTTCACTGATCTCATGTGAAGCCCTACAGACATATTTACAACTTTATAGCTCATTTATGGACCTACAACACCAAAAAAAAAGGGCATCACCAAGAAGTCGCACAGTCTATCTCTCGCCATGTTATCTAAGTACTCCTAGACTCATCACAATTCTATCAAGGCCATACGTGCTTCCAACTTAAGGAAACCAACCAAAAAAGAAAGCGAATTATGTTGGTAAAAAAAAAGTGATTTCCTCCATTCTTACAGCATTCATAAGAGGGGAAAAAATCATTTCTCAAATAATAGAAGAAAAAAAAAACAATTTGACCTTTGTAGCTGCCTCCAAAACAGCATCCTTGTTCATAAGCTTCTGAACTTTGAGTCCAGTATCATATCTAGATGATTGAGGGCAATATGAGCAATCTTCACTGCAGCCTCCGGTCTTTATAGACAAAAGAGTACACTGCTGCACTTCTCTAAAGTTTTGAGCATGTCTATGAACTTGAGCCTATAAAATCAACAAATTTCTCACTATTAAAATTCATACTAAAAAATTAAACAAAATAAAAAAAATGTCTTCCAAATTTAAATAGATAGTGGTTTCAATTCTCAAAATAATTAGAAGTGAGGGAGAAAGGAACAAACGCCATGAAAGAGGAGATCGAGAAGAGGAGAATCGTAGATGGATTTAATTTCATCCCGAGACCAATCGTTTCTAGGTCCATCCCTTATGCTTCTCTCAGCTTCAATAGCAGCAGCAGATGATGACGCGGTTGTCGCTGACGGGGACACTAATGTGGAGTAACAATTGGAATACGTCGGTAGCTGTAGCTGCGCCAGAACCGCTGCCGAAAGTGGCCGTCCGATCAACCTTATTTTGCTAATCATCGTTGCCGAGCGTACACTTTCAGTGTGTAACTCTGCTGAATAAATGAACCGGTTTTAATTACATTTGCCTTAGAAGCTATGGAGTTGGAATTGTATTCTTGTAGAATTGAAATTCTATGAATTCCAGTCCCAAGACATTGCAATTCTTCGGTTTGCCTAATAGATAGGAGAGCAAATTATTGGGATAGGCACTCCACTTTTTTAATAGTCAAAATATGATCATTTAATAAGTATTAGTACGTTTTTCATTATTGAATTATCAAAAGTATAAATTTTAAATAATTCAATCTAATATTATCATTAATTCTATCAAATTTAAAAATTCGCATGACTTACAAGACGTACTATTAATAGTCAGATGAAATGATTCAAAATTTATACTTTTCATAATTTAATGAATAAAAATATATTATTAATAGTTGATTGACTAAAACATTCTAAGAATTTAATGGCTAGTAGGATAATTTGCTCTAGATAGAATTGAGTAAGAGTTTATTTGAAACTCCAAATTCTTTGTTTGACTGGGAGAAGATTTCATGGAGGATTAGAATTACTTAAATTTAGAATTAAAAAGATTGGTTCCTTCCAATAATAACAATATTTTAGCGGGGAAAAAGGAGATAATTTGCCTTAATTTGCACAACTTTTTCAATTATTAAAAAAATCTTTATAATCGTAGAATATGATCTGTTTTCATTTTAACTTTAGAGTAGATTTACATGACTACTAAAGCATCTTAACTATCATATCACCACCTTTTTTTTTTTTTGCCTTTTTGTTTATTAGAATGAAATGTCTACATATCACAACATCACTTGAATATTTTCATTACCAAAATTACGCCTAGAAAATAAAGTAAAAATATTGGCCCACATCATCAAATCAATGCTTACTATGTAAACATTAATTATGATCTTACCAACTTCAACAAGTAAATACAAATTTGCAGAATTTAGCTAAACATTTTGATCTCTCACTCCCATTGTCTAAGAGAATGAAAATACATATGGTCAAACACAAGTAATGCTCTTCCCCTAGCCACTAGCCCCTACGGCTTTCCTGCAAATTCTTTTCATCGTACTAACATATATAAAGCAGTCTCTCAATGGATAATCACTTTTCAAATTCTTTTTCAATCCACAAATAATGGCATTAGACCAAGTTAAGCAAAATATCTTGGTTCGGCTGCTCTTTGAAATAGATAGTAAGGTCAGCTCCTATGTTGTTCCTTACACAAATGGTTATCATGTACCTCGAGACGGGTGTGTTGTGCACCCGTTTAATTCGGTAGTAATTCAGTCTCCTCCGAATTATCCCTGGGCCTTTTTAGCTCCGCCCCCTCCCCCTTAATGTAGAATAGATTAGATTATACGACTGTTGTCATTTCTAAAAAAAAAAAAGTACCTTGAGGAAGGTACCGTATAGCAAGTTAGATATAGAAAATGTAGGAAGATGACCAAAAAAAAAGTTGAAGAAATAGTGCCCAGACCAAATTAACTTTTACTATGTAATCTTTAGTGAAAAACACCAACTAACCTAAAACATTTATTTAATCCTTGCATTCCCATTGATACAACAGTGACAAAACCATATATCCAAACTCCTTTGCGAAAGAGTAAGAACATAGCAAAAAAACTAATGCGTTTAAGGTGATTCCTCAAATCTTGCTCAGTGATTCTCGCATCAAATACACCTACATAAGGGGTACTAGTGTTCTAATCTTCCAAGGGTTCAAGGCGTATATTTCACCAACCTTGCTGAGAAGATTCATTGGCACTAGAACATTACCTCTGCAAGCAAAATAAGATAGGTTATAAATCAGGAAAGGTTGCACAATTCTATGGGTATTTAAAAAATAAAATAAAATAAGCCTCCGAAGATTTCCAAAGTAATGCACCACATTTAACACTATAGCCTTGAGATAAAAGTCTACAAAAGTTTACATTATTAAATCACAAAAGGAAAAAATGCACTTTTCATCCTCAAAGTTTGGGCTGTTGATCAATTTCATCATCAAAGTTTCACCCCAAACACATTTCATCCTCAAACTTCTGCAATTTTGGCCAATTAAGGACAATTGACGGGAAATGAAGAAATTGGCGTTAGACCCAATTGTAAACCCAACAAAAAATGGGTTAAACCGAATGGAGCCATTTTTTAATGGAACAAAAAGTGTTGCAACGGACGAAAAGCAAACTTTCTTCTCCTTCTTCCCTCTGCCTTTCTGTAACCCCAAAATTTTTTTGCCAATCTCTGGAGCTTTAAACATTTCATCCTCAGAGCATCTGGCAGTGGTTCTAAAGTCTCATTTTTGCCTAATAAGGAGCAGAAGTTCTGAAGCCTCCAGTGGTTCATCAACTCCATTCTGCAACTATGGGTTGAGAACAAAAATGAGCACCTGTTGGCACGGCGAGAATCCGGAAAGAAGATTCCTTGGTTGCTCTTTGTGGCCGGTAAGAAATATTTGTGTAAAAATATTGGTCCTTCAATGTGTTAATTTAGCTAACGAATTTCTGAAAAATGTCATTATTGTTATGGTAGAGACCTGAGAGATGCAGCTACTTTGAATGGGTTGATGAGCCAATTTGTCCAAGAGGGAGAGTTCTCACTCCTAGTTTGCTAAAAAAAGATTAACCAAATGGAAGAACAAGTTGAAAGAATGCGTAAGAGGGAGAAATTTTATATTATGATAATTGTGCTTTTGGTGGTTTTGCTAGTATTGAGTTGGAGGAGTAAAGGCAAGGGAAAAGCAAAGGGAGGCAAGTTGCTGCTAACATTGGAGTGATTTTGCTAAAATTGCAGAAGAACATTTTGAAGTTGACCTTGTTTGTTGTTGGAATGAGAGTTGCATTTTTCCCTATGAAGTAATATCCAATTGCAGGGTATAGAAAGGGACTTATTTTGTTTGTATAAAGGGTCCAAATGAACTCTGCAATTTATATAAAAGGTGGGATTTAGGAAGGGAAATGTATTTGGCAACAATGCAATTTATGAACTCTGCAATTTATTTTGTTTGTAAAGCTATGCGTTAAGTGTAAGAAAATCGTCCTTGTCAAAGTGTTGTTCCTATCATATATATAAAATGGCCATGAAGTGATAAACCACATGTACTGATAATACAAATAGATGCAAATAAACCAAGCTGATAAACCAAGATTGTCCCACATGTACTGATAAACCAAGCCAGAAAACAAATGCAAATAATACAAACAGATGAACATGAAAACAGCTGTCATATATATATATATATATATATATATATATATATATATATATATATATATATATATATATATATATATATATATATCATAACTTCAAGGCTCCGTTTGGATTAGCTGTTTTTGGAGTTGTTTTTCAAAAACACCACTGCAGCATTTCGAATCTGAAAAACAAGTCCGTTTGGATTAGTTGTTTTTCAAAAACTATATGAAAAACTTTTATTGTAGATTTTTTTGAATTATTTTTAGAGGTATTTTTGAAACATATTTTTGAGTATTTTTAGAATATTATAATTTTTATATTTTTATATAAATATACATTTATGCATTTATAATACATTTATATTTACAAATGTATATTATTATAAATGTATAAATTATAAATGAATATTATATAAATGTATAAATTATAAATTATAAATGAATATTATATAAATGTATAAATTATAAATTATAAATGAATATTATATAAATGTATAATTATAAATTATAATTTTTATATAAATATACATTTATGAATTTATAATACATTTATAAATAAATATATTTATATATTCATATAAAAATATATAAATGTATTATATTCTATATAATACATTATATAAATATATTTATAAATGTATAAGTGTATATTATTATATATGTATAAATTATAAATGAATATTATAAATATATTATAAATTATAAGTGTATATTATTATAAATCTATAAATTAATATATTATAAATATATATTAATATTATTTAGAAATGTATTTATATAATTAATATAAATGTATATATGCATTAATATTATGTATAAATGTAAAATTAATATTATGTATATTAATATAAATGTATAAATGTATTATATTATATATAATACATAATATAAATGTATATTTAAATGTATAAGTGTAAATTATTAAAAATGTATAAATTATAAATGAATATTATATAAATGTATAAATTAATATATTATAAATATGTTTTAATATTATGTTGAATGTATTAATATAATTAATATAAATGTATACATGTATTAATATTATGTATAAATGTAAAATTAATATTATGTATATTAATATAAATGTATAAATGTATTATAAATGTATTATATTATATATAATATATAATATAAATGTATATTATAAATATACATAAATATTTATATATTATGTATAAATGTAGATTTATATAAATGTATAATATATTATATATTATATTATATATAATTTATATAACATATAATATTTATGTAAATATATTATAAATATATTTTAAATAAAATAAAATATTTATGACATGTATATGTAAATATATAATATTAAAAATGTATAATATATATATATAATATACATTAATATTAATATAATTTATATATAATATACATAATTGAAATATACATATTAATATATATTATAAAACAAAATTGCATAAATATATTTATAAATTTATATATAAATAAATGTATTTATATAAATAAATAATATTTATTTCAATTGACATAATATATATAATATTATACATAATTGAAATAAATATATTTATATTAATATAATATATATATAATATACATAATTGAATATACATATTAAAATACATAATTAAAATATACATATTAAAATATATAATTAAAATATATTAAAATATAATTGAAATATACATATAGAATACATAATTAAAATATACAAATTGAAATATACTTATTAAAATATACAAATTAAATATGCATAATTGAAATATATTTGGAGTTGTTTTTGATATATTGTTTGGATTGGTGTTTTTGAAGTTGTTTTTGAAATACACATTTACTGTAGCATTTGGAATGTGAAAAACAGTTTTTCAAAAACAGACTCAAAAACACCAATCCAAACGTACCCGAATACAATTAAAGTGCATTCCAAATGAAATAAAGCAAACTACATGACTGTTGTTGAACATGGGTCCATAAACGAAATAAAGCAAGCTCTCACATT